CACATGGGCGCCTCGTTCCAGAGCATATTACGTGTCCGTGTCCATGATACCATGATGTCATGGACGGAAAATTTTCCTTGTTTGTTGCGCGCCGCCACCTTCGTACGTCTTCCCCCTAATGATGACCAGGAGAATATCACACAATTACTTCATCAACTACATATCTCTTTGCTCGTTTCCGTCACTGTCTCTCTCTCTCTCTCTCTCTCTCGTGTCCTGTCGCTTGCTTTGTGCCGTAGATGGGCATGGATATCGAGGAGCTTTGCGATCTGGAGGCCAAGCTGAAGACCTCGCGTGGAAGTGATACGTCGCCTGCTAGTAGAGATGCAAAGGTGAACATCCTCAAGTACCTTCAAATCAAGGCGGTAACGAGGTTTCAAGAAGCATACGACGATTTGTACTACGAGCTCAACAAGAAGGGAGGGCTTGAATGTCTTCGCAGCATCGTCCCGATTCGGTGGAAGGAAGTCCTCCAGCCCAAAGTATTGGAGCTACAGGACTGCGACGAAGACGAGGAACTCGAAAAGAAGCTAGACTTTTATCTTGCGGACGCAGAGCTTACAAAGCCGCATCTGGACGAGCTCGTATCCAAGATTGCGCACGACTCGTGTAAATTCGTAGTACAGTACGTTGACGTCAAGTCACGGGATCGCACGCGAGAGAAGGCAAGGAAGTCCTGTGGTGGGGACGTCCGAAAGGTTGCTGACATGGCTAGGGTGACTGTGGTCTGTGCCACACCGGAGGCCTTGAAAGAGGTGTACTCGGCTATCACGGGGCTGCCCAAGGTCAGAAGAAAGGGCAGAGTTGCAGACGCCCCGCAATCCTGCAAGTTGCGCCGTACCGATCGCTTGCTGCTTGATCTGAAATCGACTGAAGAAGATTCGGAAATTCAACCCGAGATTTCGGCCGCGATGCTTGGGGTAGTAGTGCGACGATTTCGTATCAACAATACGTCTGTCGTGTCTTTTTGTCATGCGCCATAGATCCGTACCTGGTAAATGCGAGTACTGTGCAACACCCCATACGACCCTTTCCAACAAGGTGTTACCTTTGACAACAATCCAACTCGTTTCCTGATACCCCTTCAAACCTGCTCTTGTAGCCGCACCATGTTCTACGGGTGAAAAACGGCTTCAACTCCGACTGGATGCCAAGCGGTTACCGGGATGTGAAAGTCAACCCCGTCGTGAACAATCACCTATGTGAGATTCAGCTGCAGCTGCGCGAGTTCTTTGCGTTAAAAGGCGGCCAACACGCCGTGTACAAGTGGGCGCGGGAGCTTAACGTAGTTGCGGATTTGCGTGCAGAATACCTGTACAAGAACCTGTCCATCGAGGTCACGAAAGAGATGATGCGCCTGGCGGGGCAGAATTGGCGTGGAACTGGATACTGTCTACCGGACCTTCAGGTCGCTGCTGGACAGTATGATCTGGTCGAGAAGGACCTTGGACAGGTAACCCGCTTTGGGAGATACGGTTGTGGTCGTATCGCTTGTTAGCACTTTTTCTGTTTTGGGCCACCTCTGCAACGGACCCGTTCGCATTAACCTTGCGTCTATATGCTTCCTTTTGCGCGACGTAAATGTACCAGCGACTTACGGACGCCGAGCGCAAAACACATGGTGTTGAGGACCATGGCAGCAAGGAATCAAGACGAGCATTACTCCGCTTAAATACAGCCAGGGCAAGACTCGCCTATGTGCGGCTGCAACAGGTGAGGCGCAAGCAAAACGACCGAGGAAACCATTCCAGGACTCGTCGAACTATGTCGCTTGGCAGAGTATTGACGTATGTTTCATGGTCTGGAGGCCGCGACGTTCGTTTGGTTCTCTGTTCTTGGCTCGAGAACTAGGGTTTGGAGACTATCCATTCGTTGTTGACGCGGAGCATACTGATATCGTTTGTGCTAGCGAAAACCACTGTTAGACCCACGAAAATGGCATTCATCGAATAGAGTACTTTTTTGTTTCAAGCAGTTTCTTGTTGTCTTGTTCGAGGAGGCGCGCAAGAACCCAAACGATGTCATTACAGACTGAAGTAGGAAGGAAACCGTTCCTTCTCGCCAGACAGATAGTCAATTTCTGTATTCATCTTTCTACCGACAACAGCAAGAGGAGCGTAGTCAGTTGTGGATTTGGTGTCCGCACTTCGAATGCCCACACTAAGTCTTACCATGTAGCCGGCAATATCTATTGCCAACTACCTCGTAGGGCTACTGTAGACGCTATTAATAATTGTGTTTCCTTTCTATTGTCCAGGATATCAGCATATTGGCTCACACATCGGGCACCCATCACTCATCTGAAATGATAGTATGTGATTGCAACTGACACAGGGCCCGAGAACTGTCAGATTTTGGATGTTTCTGCCATAGAAATGGGCTAATGGGCATTGCTGTCCTCAATATATCAGCATGATATTCCTATCGATAGGCATTGCTCGCCTCAGAAGAATTCGCAGAGTGCATACTGAAAGACATTGCAGATCGGTGTGAGAAATCCAACGATCAAATGCGATTAACGTCGGCAAAAGACTCTCGTCTGTTCAGCACATTGTGTTGCTCCTGCAGCATACATTGGGTCCGCGTTTAACGCTAGAACGCTGGTCGCGGATCAACAAACTTTGTTGTCTGATGGGTAGAGCCGTAGAGCCGGATTGCTGTAAAATCAGGCCCGAACCGGCATAGTTCTTGTGGTGATTTCGTGCCGTGCTAAAAAACCGAGCGCTCTCGTTGAACAAATGTTCCCCGCACTTAGTTATTGACCAATCACGACCCAGCCACTGTTCAAAAGTATCCCAGGGCACCTCGACGCTGAGCCACTCTACGAACAATTGCAGTTGCTGAGACGGGATCACGCTGATGCTACCACGATTCTCAACGACCGGCCGTGGTTGTTGAACAAGTGTTTCTTCACGGAAACAGCTAGGAAGGTCTTACACATTTGCTTCTCTCTTGGTCCATCTCGTATCAGGGCAAGTATTCGGAAGCAGAAACTCTGTACAAACAAGCTGCTGCATCGAATGAGCTCGTTCTTGGACCCGAGCATCCAAGGTTGGCAATGGATCTCAATAACTTGGCGGGGTTGTTCGAGAAGCAGGTGAGAGCCGTCAGAAGATTCCAGGGACTTTCGTAGGGCCCACCCGTGGTATTGAAATATTGTTGTCGCTTCCTCGCAACGAGATCACGTGCTTCACAGGGCAAGTGCGAAGAGGCGGACCCTCTGTATGCTCGAGCCATGGTCTTTGGGGAGATAACGCTTGGCCCCGACCCAGATGTTGCCACACGGCTCAGCATATGGACGAGGTTGTCGATATTCGTTCAAATTTCTAGCTCCTTGGCCACATTCCCTTGGTGCAATTTCGTCGAATTCAAGGGCAAGTATGCGGAAGCCGAACCTCTGTGGGAACGCTCCCTCGCCATCAAGGAGAATGCTCTCGGCTCAGCCCACCCTGCGGTGGCGTTAGTACTCAACAACCTGGCGGTATTGTTGAAGATCCAGGTGAAAGCCGTCAGGATTTTCCAGGAAACGTCTTGCATGAGTAGGGCACGACAACAGGGTGCAATTAACAGCTTTTGTTCCTCCGCGATTCTTGTTTTTGACCTCATGCCTTTTCATCACAGTACAAGGCAGGTTAGATGAAGCCCGGCCGTTCTACCGCCCTACGCCAACCCTCCATTTGTTGCGCAGGGCAAGTATGCTGCTGCCGCGCCACTCCATCAGCGATCACTGGCCATACGCGAGAAGGTACTAGGTCCGGAGCACCCTGATGTGTTCTCTTCGCTCAGCAACTGGGCTGCGTTGCTGAGGTGTCAGGTGAGGGCCGGTGCAATCTTCCAGGAAATGTGGTGAAAGGTAAACTTTGTGAATAGTGTTCACAACCGGGCAGGAGACTCGGGAGAAATTCGTGAGGCGCGGCCATGCAAACGTTGCTACAGTTCCCAGCCATGGCTGCGGGTTTGTATGAGGTTCAGGCGATGGGAAAGCCTTCAGAAAATCATCGCATGGTTTCATGTGAGGTGCAAGCTAGTCACTCCCGATTCCCTGCTATGTTATGAATGTTTGTTCCAATCCCGGGTTGTAGGTTAGGAGTTTTGTGGGAAGTACATGTGCCGGATTTTTCCAAGACTCCATTCCCGGTTCGAGCTCGTACACCTTTCCCGTTTTCTCCTGCTCCGGCTGTTGGGAAACGTTAGCGATAGTTTTCAACTCTTCGCAGTGCTTCTAAACATGTCGTCGACACGTTCACCCATGTGTTGGTGATGAAATAGACATGCTACGTGTACCCGTCCATGGGCACCCCTCGAACGCTGGGCCTATGGTCCGTAAGAAATAGTCAAGGGTTAAGATCATCACGTGTCGAGGGTGTGGGGAGAATGGTTGGGAAGACGAGAAAACACGATTGAGCTCTGCAGCACAGTAGTTTTTTTTTCACTAGAGCACGACCTGCCTCTCCACTAACACCCCGAGAAAGCTAGACCAATGGTGCAAACGGGGTAGCCAAGGTTGTTAGCCAAGGTTGGGGGTCGTGGGGTGCCAAGAACGTCGAACAAAAAAGCCACAAGCACCGGCGCAAGAATGTTCTGGTTTGCCAGGTTTTGAGCCCAAGCGTCCAATACGCTTGGGTTTACATTTCACGAGTCTCTCAGTGATACTTTCAGGAAGATGGGGTAACACCGCTTTTTTTGGGAGCACAAAGTATGGCTCTTTGCAACTTTTAGTTGGGATTGTTTGTCAATATCACACTTGTTACACGCTGACTAGACTATGGGGCGAAGGAAGTTTTCTTCACGCGGGACTGGCGGAATGCTGAGGCGTGATACTTTTTTTCTTAGCAACGGTAAGAAGCAGGCACACCTTTCATGCCACATCGCGAACAAACCGGTCAGAGCGAGCGGGAGAGGATAGTTGCAACACTTTTTCTCCACACTCACGATACCCCCAAGGCATCTAATCTGGTATTCGTATCAGCAAGATGCTGGGTAGAGCTACCTCCCTCGGAGCGGCATTGTTGTTCGTGTTGCCTCTTCCTTCGAAAACGTATTGCTGGAAAACCAAACCATGAGCACACAATGCCAGCGACTTGAACGAACCGCTCTCTGACGTGGTATTTGAGGGTCGACGCGCACGATACCCCACGGCACCAAACCCTTAGCATGCAAGATTTAGCAGAGAGCTATCTCCCGCCGAGTGGCCTTGCTTTTAATGTTGCTTCCTCCTTCGGAAAGTTATCGATGGAAAACCATACCTGTGGCGGCTAAGAACACCGAACTTGTACTAACCGCCCGCGGCCGTTGACGGCCGTGCGTCAGCGCAGACTTTCTTTCCCGGTGCATTTGGCACCTCGGCACCTCACGGCGCAAAACCTTGGCGTTGCCCGACAGCCCATGGCATCACCTCCTTCCAGATACCATTCGTGACGCAACTCGTTTAGTATTGGTCGAGATATTGATGAACACGGTGCTGGCGAGGGAGTCTACCGTGTGTGGTAGGGGTAGGTGCTTGACGTGGATTGGCGGAAGTCTCACCGCGTAATTTTTGTTCGACACCTTCGTTGCGAAAAAAGCTGCAAAAAGTTTGCTCCAGATCGCCCGATTTTCGTCAATAGCAAAAGTTTACAAACTTTTAGTGCAAAATTTTGCTCCCATAAAGAGCGTACATGAGGAACGTTCCGATAGGAACTTGTGACACTGTTATAGCAACTTGATGTTCCCATATCAAGCGGTGTTTTGCTCTGTAAGAGACAAACAAGACAGACAAGGTCAGGGGGTGCTGACAGCCTGGGGAGAAGCTCTACAGCACCTCCCTTAATACAAGTAGAGACCAAAATGGCCTCTATCACGCGCTCGCTGTCTCGCTTCGGCCAGGGGTACAGCGCGAAAAACCCTTGCTAGCTCAACCTTCATCCGGGTCAAAGGCACCCTCTTCATTTTGTCTGGAAACAAATACTTTGCTCGAAATTCCAGAGTTGATTCTAGGGATCCTCGGGACAAATGTCAACGACTTTGCTGAGGATTCTCGGCTATTGGTGAGAATACCGGCAATTCACAATTTGTTCGTGAATTTGCCTAAGTAGTTTGTGGACCATTCCTTCCAACAAATTATATTTTCCACGCGCAGGGCGAAAGGCTGATCCTCTGTATCCTCGACCAGAATATTTATGGCTGGGAAGAATGCGCTGGACCCGGAATATCCTGATCATTCTACAGGTCTTACCAATCTGGCGTGATCATCGGCATTTGGTTTTGCCATCATCCCATTTTGACTCATGTTCGACTCGGTCGCGCTGTTCACTACATTCCAGGGTAAGCACACCGAGGCTATGCCACTTTTGGAGCGGTTCCAGGCGACATGCGAGAAGGTTTATGGTTCTGAGCACCATTTGGTGGCTACAGCGCTTGATGGCCGGGCAGGGTTGTTGAGAGAGCTGGTGAGAGCCGCGGGAAAATGATCGTGGTGGTATTGTTGATACACAGTATTGTAGTGCTTTGCAGACGAGCGAGATAGGGAAGGTACGTGAGAGTCGCCAAAAACTTCCAGGGGTAATCTCAGTAGAATGTTTTCATGCTCAGCAACTGTTCAGGGGGGTGGTCGAGAAACAGATGAGATAAAGGGATTTTCACATATGTTAATGAATGTTATTTGTTCTACTTTTTCTCAACGGTTTTTCGCGCAATGCTGTTGTTGACGGATCAGGGCAAGTACGCTGAGGCAGAGTCTCTTTATGAGCGGTCGCACGCCATTCGGGAGAAGGTGTTGGGCCCGGAGCATCCACTTGTAGCCAAGTCGCTCCACAACCAGGCGGCATTATTTGAGAATCAGGTGAGCGCCGTCAGAAAAAATTGTCGTGCCCAGTAGATGTCGCTGTGGTGCGGGATTTATTTTCTTCGAATACCAACGACTCACCACGTTCCCGTTACTCTTTGCCGCCTTTCTCCAGGGCAAGTATAAGAAAGCCGGGGCGTTTTATGAAGGTTCCCTTGCCTTGAGGGAAACAGTTCTGGGTGCCGAACACCCGGACGTGGCCGAGTCGCTCAACAACCTCGCGACTCTGTTGCAGACGCAGGTGAGAGCACTCACATCAACCTACTACACCTTGTTTTGCAGGGCAAGCATGCTGTGGCCAAGCAACTTTATCAACGGTCACAGGCTATACAGGTGACGTTGCTGGGTCCGGAGCAGTTTTTTTATGAAGGTTCCCTTGCCTTGAGGGAAACGGTGCTGGGTGCCGAACACCCGGACGTGGCCGAGTCGCTCAACAACCTCGAGACTCTGTTGCAGAAGCAGGTGAGAGCACTCACATCAACCTACTACACCTTGTTTTGCAGGGCAAGCATGCTGTGGCCGAGCAACTTTATCAACGGTCACAGGCTATACAGGTGAAGTTGCTAGGTCCGGAGCATCCCCTTGTCGCCACGTCGCTCAACAACCGGGCGACGTTGTTTGCGAGTCAGGTGGGCGCAGTCAAACACTTCCAAGGAAACTGTTGGAGCGCTGCGAGTGTTTTGCTTAACAACCGGGCAAGCATTTTTAGAAAGTAAACATAACCTCACCGAAAGGCTACCCGTTCGAGATATGACCTCAGTCGAAAGGGATGTGGTGAAGTCTTTTCAGCAAGTGGATTGAAACCAACTGGACACTTGGCTTATTTTGAGTTTGTGTAAGCCTCACACTGAGTTATCAGTGATGCCAGTTGGAGCAAAGAACAAAAAGCATCTGTATAGGCGGATACATTCTGAATTTTATGTGGAATGTGGCCTTGACAGGGAGCATGGCGCAGTGTCGTTTGACGACTTGCTGTTTTTAGAAAATACTTCGCTTCTGTTTTAGGCGACTTGAATGTAGACTACAGAATGTACAGCAGTAGGACGGTTGTTGTTGTACATATACACCCACCACAATTTTTTTTTTTTTTGAATTTCAAAAGTTGGAGTTGTACTGTAGATTTGAGTGTAGCTGTTTCCCGCTCGTTTCGAAATCTACAACGTTATTGTTGTTCTTCGTGTGTGACGAGTGTAGGTGAAACGCGTTTAAAGGGAGGGGGATACATAGGATAGTAGGTTAGGAGTGATACTGATTTGCAGCAATGGAGTTTAGTCTTTCTTGTGTGTAACATTTCATCGAGGCAAATGAACAAGCGGCGGTCAGCGCAGCATTAGTTGCAGTCAATGTAGTAGGTACAGAACTTCCCTGTTTTTCTTCAAACGGTGTGTGTCGAAGAGTGTTGTCGAGACCGTTTGCAGCATGTCTCAGCCATGTTGTAAAGCATTCTTCATGAAGGGCAGTAGCAGCAGCAACGAGTAGTAGTCGATTGTAGTGGATCTTAACTGGTACACGACGAAAGGTGCACACGCGTTGTATCTAAGTATACACCTGGGAGTTGATATGCAGCAGGAGAAGGTGGTGTCAGCTGCGAGGTCAATAAGGGTGAGCGGCTTTGGCTTAGCACGAAACTCGATACAGCCTTTCCGCCCTGCCTCAAGGCTTGTCGGAGGAGAGCTATGTATGTGGTACCACGGCAGGGATCCGAATGCCGGCTGCTCCGAACACAATGGGAGGTTGGCGGTAGGGATAAAGCGTGAGAGTGTGCAAAGGGGGCTCCCCTGACCGTCTGCTCAATGAAGATTTGGAGGCCATCGCCGTGTTGCATTTTCACCTGGTCAAATGACGTCATTTGACGTGAAATTTAAAACATTACTTTTGAAGATGTTGTCACCTGGTCAGGCGACGTCATTTGATCTGAGATTAGAAGATTTTGTTTCATCAGATTTTTCAAGGGACACTGGGCGCTGTGTTTTCCCTTGTGAATGATTACGAGGGCAGTTTGTTGCCTTCGTATCCATCGTTTTGTTCCTCGCCAGGCATCTTTTCTCGCAACCACATTCCTTTTGCAATGTTTCGCCATTTTACAGGGCAAATACGAGGAAGCCGGGAAGTTACATGAACGTGCCCTTGCGATGAGAGAGACGTTGCTGGGCCCGAAGCATCCGGATGTGGCGGAGTCGCTCAACAACCAAGCGGTGTTATTGAAACAGCAGGCGAGCGTTTCTACTTCCTGGAAATATGGCAGGGTCTTGTCACCGAGTTTGTGCTGTTCGTAGCGAACTTTCTTATAATATCCACTAGTTGCTACACGAAGCAAGTGCAAGGGGGCCGGGGAACTCTTTATTGGTCACAGGCCGTGCAAGACAAGGTGCCGGGGTCAGGCTCATCTGATGTGGCCCGTTCGCTCACCAACAGACTGTTGATAGTTTTTTCCTACGCCATTCGCTTCTCTAGTCTTCTTCACACCCCTGTCACGCGCCCACCCCACATTGCAGGGCAAGTACATGGACGCAGAGCCCCTGTACGGCCGGATCCTGGATATCCTGGGTGCAACCTTAGGCGAGCAACACCCTTATTATGCTTCAACGCTCCTCAATAGGGTGGCGTTGTTGCAGGCGCAGGTGAGAGCTGTTACACATTCCCAGGAAAATTCGTGTGGTGGCATGTAGATTTTGTGGTGCTCAAGAACCTCGCCCGGTTTCTGGTTGTTGAGCGATATTGGCGGATTTAGATGCTCAGGGTTCGAATCATCTCCTCTCCCGATTGCTGGGCATCGCTCACTGAGTGGCTCAGTCTCTGTACGATTATCCGGGCATGCAGCAAACAATCAAGGCGGCGGAGTCGTATGTCCGTAATGTCGGGTCTAGGTTCAGGGAGTAATAGTTTTTTTTTCAGCAACGTCGCTGTTGCGCAAGCACTTGAAGTACATTGGATGTTTCTGCTAAATATGTTTTCACGCCCTGAGAATTTGAACGTGCTAAATGATCAGGCCTTCGGCAGAAAAGGCCAGGCCTTCATATTTTCTGAGAAATCCCACGTCGAGACGTTTGGATGTTGTAGCAGGCAACAATCGGGTTGTTGGGCATGTGTTCCTCCGCATTTTGCTCTTATTGTATACTAACCTTCAAACACCCTATTACGTCACCCTTCTCACCCACATTCCAGGGCAAGTGCGAACACGCAGGCACCTTTGCCGTGCGGGCCCTGGAAATTCTGGGTGCAACAGTAGGCGACCAACATCCCACTTATGCTTCAGCTCTGAACAACCGGGCGGCGGTGTTGAAGGCGCAAGTGAGAGCCGTCAGATTTCTTGTGATGTCCATGTCTACGGGTAGGTTGGAGTTCTAGGTTGACCACTCGCTTCAACCTATGTTTCTTTCTGTACAGGACAAGTTCTTGGAAGCGGGAACAATGTACACGATGATTCCACCCATTATCTTGTGTGAATGTCTTCGCCGCAACTCTCAATATCTGCCCGTGGTCGTTGGGAAAGCATTTCTTTCGGCAAAAATATAGGGTTTTCACCGTGGGTTATAATTTGGACATTTGACGTGAAAGATTGACATCTCGGGAAGCTTTGACACCAAAAGGTTCCGCCGCGCTTCTGGAGACAATATTCTCACGTCGATATTTTTTCGGACCGTGTCAAAAAAGGACATGAAAAGATTGACGGCTATTCTCCAGGCGACACACACACATGTTCCCTCAGCCACCGTCACCGGAAGGGAGCGACGCCAGCAGCAAACGCATCCACCACCCCTGCTGAAACATCCTACGCGGTCCTGTACACACGTCTTGGCGAGTTCGCGCGGGATCGCGTGCCCCGAGTCGCGTGTTCGGCGCGCGCGGTCGATGGTGGCAGAGGCGTGTGTGTACTACCAGCACAGCAGCAGCACCTTGACTGCAGTGATCAAGGTTGTCCTGCCCCCGAAGGGAGCAGAGAGAGAGGCATTAGGGAGGGTACACGGACTTGGCCGGTCCCCCGTCGCCTCACGGGACTGGGGTTTGCGCTGGGGCGCTTGGTGCTGCCAACAGCTTGCCCGGCGATAGCAGTCTCCTTTTTTTTCTTTCGGTGGTACCAAGAGTCAACGGGAACAAGCGGCGCATTATTTCGCGTCAAAATCTCAACCGTGACTTCGGACTGGCGTCAATCCTTAAATGCCAGAGTTCCACGTCAAAACAAGGTGTAAACCCTCTAATAATGTTTGCTATCCTTGACCGCACCGTTCCCGTGTCTCTCTCACCTTGTAGGGAAATTACGAAAAAGCTGGGCGGTTGTACGAGAGCGCTATGGCTGTCGGAGAAAAGACATTGGGTTCAGACCATCCAGGTCTTGCCACGTTGCTCAGGAACCGGGCGGAGTTCTTGAGAGAGCAGGTGAGCACCCTCAGAAATTTCCAAGCAAACCTTACGGTGCCCTATGAACATGGTCATGCACAAGCAAGCGGGGCTGTTGGAGATGCAGGCGAGAGCCAATCAAACTGTTCAAGAAGTTGTTGTAGCGTCCGCCGGTCCCGGAAAGATGTCTTCGTTGTTGACTGACCATTGCATTATCCCAATACTTGTTCCGCAGGGCAACTACAATACGCTACCACCGAGTCACCTTATTGACGGCCACAGGCTTTGCAACAGAGCATGCTGGGTCTGGAGCACCCCGATTGTGCTCAGCCGCTCATCAACCGGGCGTGCGTGTTGAACATTTTGTTCCTCCGCGTAACCTGTTATGGCCTTGACCACGCCGTCATTGCTGTACTTCCTCGCATTTTAGGGGAACTACAAAGACGCGGGTCCCTTGTTCAAACGAGCTGCTGAGATAAATGAAGCCGCTCTAGGCCCTGACCACCCAACAGTGGCCACGGATCTTAACTCCCGGGCGGTGTTGTTGGGGTGTCAGGTAAGAGCGCAACCACTATCCTGATACACTTTGTAGGGTGCTCATTTTTTGGTGAAAAGTTTGGTTTGTTGGTGAACCGCTGCTCTACACTGAATCAGCCGGGTACATAGATCCGGTCGCCCCGGTGGTCTAGTGGGTAGCCTCGCAGCCTACTAAGGGCCAGGTTATGGGTTCGAGTCCCGGCAGAGAGAGTTTTTTTCTCACTTAATAACATCCTGGTTTAGGATGGTTGCGACGCGCTGCAAAGCTCGTTTGTTAGTAAACCATAATCGACTTCGTAAGTCGCGAGGGAAGGGATTGCTGTACCCTTCTCGCGATAAAAATACCTCAGGCATGAACCGCAGGAGGGGGTCCAACCCCCCCCTCCTATGTGACCCCGGTCGGGTCGTCTAGCTAGTAGAAGTGGAGGATAGGGGCCAGAGGGGCAGACGACAGAGAGAGTCCAATGATGGGAGAAAAACAAAAAAAACAAAAAAACTGATGTTCACAAAAACGCTTTGTATGCGACGCAGCACAACTACAAGGATGCCGGGAAACTCTTTAAGCAGTCATTGGCCATTCGAGAGAAGGTGTTAGGCTCAGAACATCCTCTTGTGGCTTCATCGCTCAGCAACTTGTCTGAGTTGTTGAAGAATCAGGTGAGAGACTTTGTAATACCGTCCGTAACACTGCGAGACATTGCACGGTTCGGAGTTATCGCACAGTCATGAGTCGTCGCGCCCCCGTTCGGCAAAAACTAGATTGCTAAATTTTTAAGCTCGAATTCCTCAAAGGTGTGCGATGGCTCACACCATAGGGTAGTTGAGTGCCACGATTCAGGGACAAGTTTTATCCCTGTAACGATGCCTGTGCTGGCGTGTTAGCTCCGGTGCACCATAATATATGGCATCGTTGCAAAACCCATGTCATACGTATGTGGAGGTATGCAGGAGATGACAATCAGTGGCTTTCCGTTGATAATCAAATTGAAATGGTAGCCTCTGTCCACTCGACTAGAACAGGAGAAATATACAGCAGTCACAGGCCAAGCCAAGACAACCGCCCTCTGAAATGGTTGCCAAGTGACTGCTGTGTGTCGCGTATGCGCACAACTCGGCCGGAGGAAATTTCGTATGAACGCTCTTCCTTATCGGCGAGAAAGCTCGTGACCCTATTCCCCCTGCGGTGGTAACAGTGCTCACCAACTGCACCTGGTTAAGCATTTCTTCCTCCCCAAGATGATCGTTCAGTCAATGCTACCTCTTTTTCAATCTCCCCACATGTTTCAGGGGAACTACCCAGAGGCCATGCGGCTGTGCAAGCGGTCACAGGCTATTCGAGAGAAGGTGCTGGGTCCGAACCACCCCGATGTGGCCTTATCGTGCAACAACCGAGCGGCGTTATTGTACCATCAGGTGAGAGCCATTCGAAGTTTCCAGCAAACTTGATCAAACTTGATATGGCGGTTTGTGGAGTATGGAGTGCCCACGTGCCCCCACAACCGGGCGTGGTTGTTGAATGCTTGTTTCTCCGCAGTCAACCCCACCAGCGTTGGCCACATTTCTATCGTGTTGTTTCCTCGCTCTTCAGAGCGATTATCCCCAGGCCGAGCAACTGTTTGCGCGGGTCGCCGAGATGTGGGAGACATCGTTTGGTCCTGAGCACCCAAAGGTGGCCACAGCACTCAACAACTGGGCGTCTGTGTTGGAGAAGCAGGTACTTTTCTCTAAATTCTAGTTCGCCGACTTGTCGGAAGCAAATGTGACAGCAGCCGTCATTTGTTTCGATTGCCGAACTTCGATAACCTCGTCGTGTTGATTTCAGCATGTGTCGATGTTTTAGAATTGCAGTCTGTTTGCACCAGGTGCTTGGAACCCACTGCTTGTGTATATTTTACTAACTGATGGACGAATCGGTGTCATAAAGTCTGTTCACATTTGTGGGTCACGCGGTGGTTCGCGTTTGCGGGCACCGCACGAGATTCACTCTCTCAACCCTGTATCTCAATTGTCCACAGGAGAGGTACCCGGAGGCTATTCGACGATATGAGAGATCGCTCGCAATCAATACGAAGAGAAAAGGTGGACACCACTCACACACGGTCACCACTCAGAAAAGCCTGGACCGTGTACGCAGAAAGGTTAGTGCACGTTGGACCGTCTTGAAGGCAAACGCTGCAATATGGAACTCTTTGTGAGAAGGCCTGGCGCTGCTGGAAAATGCCTTCTTCCGTGTTACAGGTGGAGACGAGATCGAAGCAGCTGTCGGCCACTGCAAACCCGATGAACAGGACACGATAACAGCTCCCGGGGCAAGCTGCGTCAAGTGGAACAGCACGTCACTCTGCTTTGCCCCGCCGAGTGTGATGTAAGAAATCAGGCGGGGTAGTATGCTTCGTCTGCTCCTTGTCTACTACGGTGTTTTTTTTTTCTCCAAGTACCAGGTAGACGCAACAATGTCATCTCTATCCTTGGAAGGGAGTCTAAGGCAGAGTGGTAATGAATTCGTAGCATCAGCGGCGGCTACCTTTCTTCTACGATTTCCCGAGCAGCTCAACAAGTTTGTTTTGGTAGCCGTCGTGTGTACCTCTTCTGTACGTTATGCTGGGAAGGTGTAGAAGGAAAGTGTTGGGAGGATGATTGTGTTTGTCGGGTGTGTTATTTGCGGCGCCCTTTGTTGTACGTTTGGTAGCATATTTCTTTTGGAAAGCGTCGTGCGTGGATTTATCTTTCGTCACGAGGCAAGATTTGGTTGCGAAAGCGAAACTGTACGATTTGACAATTGAAAATACCTGATGAGTAGTGTTCTCAAGAGCCGTAGGTGTTGGATTGTTTTGCGCCACCACGTGGCGTATATTGAATGCAGTACAAACCATGTCTGCTGCAACAGCCAGTCAGTGTTGGTCCGTTCATCGTACACGTACCCACGGGAAACCGAAGCTCAGATCAAATTCTGGCGAAAGGTGACAAGGACAAATCAATATCACAGCAGTAGTACCGCGATCAAAAGGAGTAAACCAGACAATCATAACAAACAGGCCACAGACCGTCAGACGTCGCAACTTAGACGGCACAGGAGGTATATTTGTTGAAACGATACATACAGTAGTCTAGAGAACCTATGGCTCCCACTCGACACGCAAGAAGGGCGACCAAAACCGAAAAGCGTTGACATGTAAAATGCCGGAGTCGGTCAAGGTTCGGGCGTTGTTTGGGCAGTGCGTAGACTATTAGACTATGTATTTATTCTAGTCTAGTTCCCTGTTTTATCTTTTCGCTCATCTCTTCTTACTCAGTGCTGCAACATTTAGATTAACTGCCACCTTTTCCACATCTATACCCGCCCGCTCCCGGTCTCTCCCCCGCCTCCCGCACACACATACATTTTGCATGTGTTCGTACGTTTCCTCCTCCTTCGCACTCAATGCCGTCGTCGTCTTCGTTGTTGTAAGTTTCAGCGTGGCCCGTCCAAGTGCAGATTGCAGTAGACCTACAGCAGTAGTAATACCTGGTGTGTGGATGGATCTTCTTTGTTTGCCTGGCTAGGTCGTGGATGTTGGACAGCGTCACTCCTGCTGAGACTTATTTTGTGCATGCATGTGGATGTGGATACATAGTCTATCTAGACTAGAGTGAGAAGTGTCGTCATGCATGAAAGTTCTCGCCATCTCCCGTACAGGGTAGACCTGCTGTACACATACATCAGGGAGACGTGCATCTTGGAAAAAAACAAAAAAAACAGCTCCATTCTATGCACATACATACAAATACACAGGTAGACAAATGGCTAGGGTCAAAATCCTCTAGAGGATAGGTGAAACGGCAATCCTCAGAGGATTGC